GAGCCAAACTTAAATGAAAATGGTTATAGCTGCAGAATGAAGAAGAGAATTGAATATAAATCTTTTAGAGATTTCAAAAAAGAAAATGGAGGTGATTTCTGGATCATTTTTAGCACTCAGAAAGATTTTGGGATATTTTTTCACAGTGCTATGGAAACTGGTTGGTAATAAGCATCAACCCCAGGAAATATGTATTGTTTGCAGTGGAATAAATGGGAATTGTTAGATTACTCATGGCTTAAAAATGTAATGGAATGATCTGTTGCTCAAACTTATTATCATGTTAAAAACTAATTTTCCACATATCTGCTAAGTCCTGACTGATCAGATGTTTCTTGGAAATCCTTTGGAATTTTCCAAGACTTTTGAATTGCTGGGACTGGTCCCAAAGTCTGGCAGAGGGTGAAGTGGAGTGTGTGATTATCTATCTGACCAGGGTCCTCATGGTGTCCCTACAGTGTGGCAGTCACCTTAACACTGCTCATCTGTGGAAGATGGGGAGGATGCCCGGTGCATGTTAGCTGGCCTGGCCCAGCCTGGCGGAGAGGCTCCTCTAGGAGGGAGTCTCCTCTCAGGCTACCTTCGGCCTAGGGGCCTTACCAGGTGGCATTGATTGCTATCACATTGACATACTCAGCCATTGGTCTGGGGAGACTGGGAAGGCAAGACTAGCCAGCCTCAGCTACCTGCTTTGCAGACATCATGACAACAGTGGGACATTGGACCGATATGCCCTTTTCTTTGGATAGGTGATGGCTGCATGTTCTGAGTAGCCCTTTCTAGGACAGGTCAGTCAAACAAACATAGGATCATGGTGAAGGGCTAAAGAGGCTGTGGGAAGGGCTTTGCACCTTTCACTCTGTACACCAAGAGGTAATGGGGACAGCAGCTTTTGTAAAGTCACAAAGAAAGGCTTTCTGGGCCTCTGCAGCTTCCTTCCCATCCTCATGGACAGTCTCGTTCTGCGGCTTCTTCCCCACACAAAGAAATCCTGCTCCTCCATTTTTTGCAGCCTGACCTACACAGTAAAGAGGGCAGCATCCCAGCCAGGGCAGCACTCCCCGCTCAAGTGTTCAGTGGATTGGGAACATAGCTCAGTAGTAGAGTGCATAGGACTCTATATTCAATGCCCAGTCTCTCTCTTACACACACACACACACACACACACACACACACACACACAGTGTTAAGTGTTGTCCAACTAGGGATCCAGTCATCTCAACCCAGACTAACAAAACTAATCAACTTGCATAATGAAATCTCTATCCCTTGCACTAATGACATCTACACTGTGATTAACTAGACCTTACATCTATTTTGCAAACTTGAGAACTTTCCTCTGTCACCAGAATAATATCCGTATAGCACTAAGTCACATCTGTAAGCCATTGCGTTCCCCGAAGATGGAGTATTCTAAGGAAGTGTGACTGATAAGACCCCCTGCTGCCAGCTAACCCTTCTTATTCCTGTCCTTAGCTTATCAAACCCAAAGACTCCTCTGCACTTTTCTGAAGAGAAACCTGACTTCTTTGCTTCCTCAAGGTTCCATCTATCACCTCTAGTGAAATAACTCCCAGACCACAACCTCATCCTGACCTCCTTCCAGAGCTGTGTGACTCATACCCCTAACTGCCAGACATCTGCACCTCCGTATCTCTCTGACACCTCAAACTTGGTTCTGAAATAAAATTCATTTTATGGTTCCTTAAGCTGGTCCCACTAGACTTTCTTTTTTTTATGGTCCCATAAGCCGGTCTCTCTGGACTTTTTTTGGTCAAGGGTATCACTCCTGCATCTGATAACTGACCTGGGAGTGATACATCATGTGTGACATTGTGTGCATCCAGCAAGCATCTATTGAGAACCTACTTGTGGACAGCATTCTGTGTACAAAGTGGAGAGGTTACAAACCAGGATCAAGTATGGAAATAACTCAGGTTCAGGAAAGGGAGACGGATTCCCTGTGTCAGATGGGAAGGAGAGACAGCCAGTTTTGCAGGATTTCCCATCTGCAGAAGACACAACTTTCCCTGGGATTCCTGTGTCCTGGAGGCAAACTCTGTTCACCACTCACACAGTTTGACCCTGCCCTCGGCTCTGCTCTCACTCAGCACCTGGCTAATTGGGGAATACATTCATTCAAGGAATGCTGTCCAACCAACTAACAGTGCTTCCAGTATCACATGGATGCCTTTCCAGCAGAAAGGTCAAAGGTCTACGGTTGCATTTCAGCATGGTGACGGCTGTCTCATATTTGGCACTTTCACTGATCACCTCTGGCTGATATTAAGACAGGCATCAGCTAGAATTCTCAGTTGCAAACGACTAACAGCAGCTTGGGATGGTTTCACAGAAAGGAATTAGTCTTAAAAAAAGAGGGAAACTCACAGGATTAATAAAGCCAACAGAGCACAGGAGGCTACAGCTGAACTCATTAGCACAGTCAGGGATGCCCTGAAGATGCCAGTTTGCCCCTTCCTGGAGATGCCATGGTACTTCTGCAATCAAGCAGGCCCTAGACTATGGGTCCTGATGCTTCAGGTCAGCTGCCGTGTACTATCTGTGGTCATGCAGGCTGCATCTAACCTCCTCCCGCCACCTGTAAGAGCATGGCTGGCTGGGGACACATCTTTTGATTGGCTGATCCTCGGTAACATCTCCCCTCTTCCACTGGAAAAATAAATCACTGTCTAACACCAAGGGGAGAATGTAAGAAACAAGGAGTTCAAGTTTAGGGTAGCCACAAGCCACACAGCTGCCCCGCCCACTTCCTTTGAGCTTTCTCTTCTTGGACAGTTGCTTTCTATTCCTCCTAACTGTTGAGGCTTGGGCCTCCAACTCCCTTACCACTTTGTCATTAATTTCTGGTTCCCAGAATTGCAAATCTCTCAAATGAGGTCTGACAAGTCTGAGGTATGATGGGATTCTCTCATTCCATATCACAGCCTGTTAACTTACATTCAAGCGTCTGAGGCCTTCAGGGCTCCCGTGGCTGCCAATGCTATATGGATCACACATGTTGGCTCAGAGTATTCTTGTGGTTGACTGAATTCCCAGATATTTTTATATGAATGTCTGCAAAGCCAGCTCTTCCATCATTTACTTACATATTTGGCTTATTGAACAATGTGCAAATTTAGCTGAGTAACCTAAAACTGTATTCGTAATACTTCAGCTATTTAGGCCACACCCTTGAATTCCTTTATGGAAGTATAACCAGAACTTTGCACACTGGAGGTCTTTGGGCTAATTTAGCCACGTATTTATTTTGGTTAACTTTGGGGACAGAAATTTTTTGTCAACCGTCGAACAACAGGAGATATAAAAAGGCCCCCAACTCTCTTTAAAGGCAGGCAGATGTCCCAGTACTTGGCATCGTTTCTTCAGAACAGTGAATGAGCGATCACAGTAGAGGAGCAGTTTTCCCTTGAGAAGGCACCCCACCATGCCTCTTTGCCTGAACTGAGCTGCTGAACTGATTTACATGTCCTGCCAGCCTTTGTGTGAGTTCGGCTTTACAGTGAGCGCTGGCTGTGGTGGGTGCTGAAGGGCAGAGCGGAAGCACAGGAAGGCCAGGCACACTGGGGTTCAGTAGCTCTGCATTTCCTCCTCTTCACTTTGGTTGTGTATGAGGGACTCTGAGAACAGAGATGTCCTGGGCTCCCAGAATGGATATCTGTTTTTGCTTTCCCGGATGCTACTGCCGGGAACCCATACTTCCTTTTCTGTGTAACTTCTGAGGGTGCTGCCAGATTTTATATCATATCTTGCTTTTGGAGACACTGACTCAGAGAATGGTCACTAACCCAGGCTAGGTGACAGGATTTTCAAACTTCTAGTCAGTCCACCACAGTATCAGATGCTTGTCTTGTTAGTGGTTGATGCTAACCGCACACTATACTGCTGGACCCAGCGCAAGCCTTCACCATGTTTTCTCTCATGTGGTACCTGGCGCTGGGTAGAGGGAAGGAGGGAGCCACCACATACAAAGGGAGAAGGGCAAGGTTCAGAGGACTCCATCTGCACTAACCTGGCCCAGATCTGTGGGTCCCTAAGATGTCTCTGATTTTGCTCCTTTTAAGGTTTTTCTAAAGCTAGTTTCTCTCTTGCACCCAAAAATGCCCAGGATACATCGTCACAAACAACAGTGTTCTCTGCCACTGTGCCTGAGGGGTGTGCATGCTTGCCCTTTTCTGGGTCCTGATCAACACTCATAAATCAGGTATTCTGGGTCCTCTCTCTTTGGGCATTTTTGAGCAAAGGTCTGAGAGCAAAGGTCAGGTGTGAATCGACCCCACCCCTTACTCCCTGCATAAGCTAGACAGACAGTTCTTACACCATTGGCAGCACTGAGGTAAATGGTACAGAGGTAGGCTGAGAAAGCCATCTGCTTCCCGAAATTTCCAGGGACTGGCAGCCTGATAGGAACTTAGGATATCTGGCATTGGGGTGCCAAGGACTGCTTTCAAATCATCACTGAATGAGCCCATAACACTCCGTCAATCATTGAACGAGTATTTACCGAGAACCCGGTGTGGAAGATACTACACTGTAAAAGACACATTGTGGTCTTTATGCACTTGGGTTCTGTGGACACAAAAGTTAAATCTAACTTAACAGCTTCATAAGAATGTGACTCATTTTCCTTACATGTGAAATGAAGTTAAAACAATTATTTCACAAGGTTGATAATGTAGATATTATTCACAGTTATTTCAGAGGGTCGATAATGCAGACATTACCTCGGCATTTAAGCACCATCACATTTTATCCCTAAAAACTAGGAAAGAGGACGCACAGCTTCGCAAACAACAGTACAGCCCAACCGGTAGGAGGGGCGTCTACACCGCTTCTGATGTTAGCCCTGGCATCTCCCGGTTGTGCATCATCCAGCCCATTGGACCTGTGCCTGAGCCGTGTTGGGACCACGAAGGAGACACCAGGGGGCAGCACACGGCAAGAAATCTTGGACGCCGACCGCAGCCCACTGCCAAACTTCCCTGCTGCTCCGGGTCCTCGTACGTACTTCCGTCGCTCTGACGCTCCCAGAAACCCGGGCATCGGGAAGGAGCGCAAATTCCCCCTCCTTTGCGCCTCACGAGGAAAATCTGGAGCCGGGTTCAGCAGAGCACACCAGAGCGGGCACTG